ACAGACAGGGGGTGGGGAGGGGTCTTGGTGTCCCCCATCCCCACATTAACCCCCCTCCTCCCCCCACTTGTATCCCACAGTTTCAGTTTGTAAATTCATACCTAAGTCTTTTCTACATTGGTTTCTACCTCAAAGACATGGAACGGCTGAAGGAGGTGAGGGGCCGCGTGGGGGCAGCGAGGACCCCCCCCGTCCCACCCCGGGTGCACACAGACGGACGTCCCTCAGCCAGCAGCGCCCGCGTCCCCGTCCCCCCCCCCGCCACCACCCCCCAGGGTCCCTGCATGCCACAGTGGGGCTGAGCGGCCGCTGATGGCGTCTCTCTGTCTGTGTCTGTCCGTCCGTCCGTCCGTCTGTCCCTTCCGCAGCTCCTGCTCATCTTCTCTCTGTCCCAAAGCCTCGTGCGCCAGCTCAAAGAGGCGCTCCTCCCCTTCATCCTCCTCCACCTCCACCTCTCCCTCATCTTCCTTAAGGGCCTCCTGGGCTTTTGCTGGAGACTGGGAGTATCCAAAGTAGGAGCGGGGAGGGCGGGGGTCGTGCATGCTGCCGTGAACCCCCCCCTCGACCCCAGCCCTGGGGCTCCCATCCCCACCTCGGTGACTTCAAGGTGACACCGAGGGGACGGCAGGGATGGGTGCCCTGCCCTGCCGGGATGCCGCGGGGATGGGGTCAGGAGGGGGATGTGGGGGTGGTGGCACCCCCCGGTGACAGCAGTGTCCCCACAGATGCTGGCCACGCTGCTCATCACACGGCAGTTCCTGCAGAACGTCAAGGAGGTGTCGCAGCCCCACCTGTACCGCCGCCTGCGCCGGGGGGAGCTCAGCCTGCGCAACCTCCGTGAGCTGTCCCACACCATCCTTCGCCTGCTCGCCCAACCCCGCGCACCCCCGGCTGCCGGAGCCGCACACGAGGGGCCGCGGGGGGAGAAGAAGTGTCTGAATGGGGGTTGTGGGGTGCCTGAGGAGGAGGAGGAGGAGGAAGAGCGTCGGGAGTCAGATTCGGAGGATGAGAGCGCACTGGACTGTGGGCTGAAGCTGAAGAAGGTGAGCTTCATCGAGAAGGCGGAGCGGCGCGGCACCGAGCCCTGCGGCACCGAGGAGGAGAGCTTCCTGGAGGAGGGCAGCCCCACCATGGTGGAGAAAGGCATGGACCCCACGTCCGTCTTCGAGCTGGCTGATGATGAGGAGGATGCTGAAGGCCCCTCGGGCAGCCCGGCCAAAGCAGCGGTGCCGGCCACAGGCCCACGGGTCACGAGGAGGAGGAGGGAGGAAGACGAGGGTGAGGAAGATGGGCGCAGGCAGAACCGGGCGTCGTGGATCGATCCGCCCGAGGAGGACTACTCAACACAGCTGACACAGGCAGAGGTGGAGAGCTGCATGAAGAAGTATGAGGTGAGTGGTCAGCATGGTGCGGAGCAGCACGGAGCGTCCTGGTGCCACTGCCATGTGCTGCCCCTCATAGGACCACAGAAGGGTTGGGTTGGAAGGGTCCTTAAAGATCATAGAACCGTGGAATTGTTGGGCTAGAAGGGTCTTTAAGGACCACAGAACCACGGATTGGGTGGGTTGGAAGGGACCATTAAGATCACAGGACTACAGAAAGGTAGGCTGGAAGGGTCCTTCAAGATCATCCACTTCACTGCCTGCCATGGGATGGGTGCCCCCCACCAGACCGGGTTTCCCATCCAGCCCTGTCTGGAATCTCCTCCTCCTCCTGCCAGGACACCTTCCAGGACTACCAGGAGATGTTCATCCAGTTTGGCTACGTGGTGCTCTTCTCCTCTGCCTTCCCGTTGGCCGCCATGTGCGCACTGGTCAACAACATCATCGAGATTCGCAGCGATGCCTTCAAACTGTGCACAGGGCTGCAGCGACCCTTCGGGCAGCGGGTGGAGAGCATCGGGCAGTGGCAGGTGGGTCGGGGGCCGCAGGGGGCCGGCGTGATGGCAGAGTTCACGCTTATCACCGGTGCTGTGCCTCTTACAGAAGGTGATGGAGGCCATGGGCGTGTTGGCCATCGTGGTCAACTGCTACCTGATCGCGCAGTGCGGGCAGCTGCAGCGGCTCTTCCCTTGGCTCAGCCCCGAGGGAGCCATCATCTCGGTGGTGGTGCTGGAGGTAGGGCGGTGCCAATGCAGAATCTCCCATTTGGGGAGGGGGCATCGGGGTGCTCAGCGTTCCCCCCGTGTCCCCGCAGCACTTCGCCCTGCTGCTGAAGTACGTCATCCAAGTGGCCATCCCTGACATCCCCGCGTGGGTGGCCGAGGAGATGGCCAAGCTGGAGTACCAGCGCCGCGAGGCCTTCAAGGTAGGTGTCACGGGGGGCGATGGGGACACGCGGGCCGTCCCCATGGTGTCCCCATCCCGACGCACTCCCGCCGGCAGAAGCACGAGCGCCAGGCCCAGCACCACTTCCAGCAGCAGCAGCGGCGCAAGCGGGAGGAGGAGGAGCGGCAGCGGCACGCCGAGTACCAGGCGCGCAAGGAGCGCGAGGCCAACCGCGACGAGGCCAAGGCCGAGGCAGCCGGGCAGGACCCGGCCCACGAGAAGAGCCAGAGCAAAGGGAAGGGCTCTGGGGGGTCCTCCGCGCACGGCTCCGACAAGCCCAAGCGGCCCAGCTCGCTGCTGGCCACCAATAACGTCATGAAGCTGAAGCAGATCATCCCTCTGCAGGGCAAATTCCTCTCCGGGGGGACCGGGGCAGGCAGCACGGCCGCCAGGTCCCCCCAGTCCCCCACCAGCAGCGATAACAAACTCCCCGGCTTCCTCAGCTTCAAGTTCCTGAAATCCCCCGAAACCAAGAGGGACGCGGCCACCGAAAAGGTGCAGTCGCCCACCAAGCCATTCAACCCCGGCAAGCTCTTCAACTTCGGCAAGTCCGAAGGGACCGGCGGCAACGGGGCCACCGCCTCCCCCCAGCCCCGTGCTGGCCCCTCTGCAGATGGGGGTGAGCGGCCAGGCCCCAGCAAGTCCCACCTCAATGGGGCTCCAGAGGATGGAGCCCGCGAGGAGCCGGAGCCACGAGCAGAGGAGGAGAGCGGGGGTTACAGACTCTGAGCCAGGCATGCCGGCCCCATCCCGGCCCCTCCGTCGCAGCCCCTCTGCTGGGACCCCATCACAACCCCGTGGAGGCCCGGCGGTGCCCTCGGATGGAGCATCCCGTCCTGCACCACCAACGGGCAATGCTCCATGCCCGCCATCTCCAGGAGGTCATCCAAGGAGGATTCGATGTCCCCAGACCTGCAGAGCTCCAAGGGGCGCAGCTCGGGGCCACAGCTCCACTCCAGAGGGACAGACAGCAGTGAGGAGCCCCGTTCACCCGTGCCTACAGCCACGGCTGCGTCCTGCTGCACCACGGGGCAGTGAGCTGCCCAGAAACGGCCGGGAGGGAGGGGGTGAGCAGCAAGCGCCGGCTGCTGCGCCCCCACGGCACGGGGAGCATTTCTTGCACTAAAACCCAAACAAAACCCAATGCGAGCGATTCTGCCATTTTTCATGCAATGGCTGCAGGCGGCGGAGATGAGAGCTGGGAGCGCCCAGGACCTGCAACACTCCCTCGCCCTCTCTGCTTTCCTATTTCGTGGAATTACTTTGCAATAAGGCACTCGCGCATGGACGCACGCTGGAGCCTGGCAGGAGGACGGGGTGGGAGGGTGGGGGCACATGATGGGGGCATGGGAGCAGCTTTGCTTCTGGCGAGCTGGAGGATTCGCTGGGTGTAGTGTTAGTGCTTTGGCAGCCCCCAGCCCAGAGGGGAAGGGGCTGCCTGTGGCTCTGCTGGGTGCTGCTTTGCTTAAGGGCATAGGAAAGGGCAGCTCGTTGCCCTCAGCCCTGCTCAATGCCCCCACTGAGCCACCCACCATCTCCAAAGCAAACAGGGGGAAAGGAGGGCTATGGGGCAGCCACCCCATCACTGTGCCTGGCCCAAGGCCTGGGCTGCAGAAACGTCAGGTTGTTCCCCCCCCCCCCATCTCCCCTCAACACGGTGTGTTTCTTCCTTTCATCTCTGAATCAAGCCATCAATACAGCAATAAGGCTGGGGCAGCACCGAGGCTCTGCGCTCCGCTCACTGCGCAGCATGGCCAGGGCTGTGCCGCACCGCTGTGCTCCCCGTGCCAAGCCTCAAGAGGCACAGAGAGCACAGCAGCCCCCCACCACCACACAGAACCAGGCACCACGTTACCTCCCCCCTCCCTGCTGCCCCCACAGAGGATTTCTGGGGTGAGAGCAGGGGAGAAGGGGAACAGGCAAACAGGGTGCAGGACGGGCAGCAGCGCTTGGCAGAGCAGCACCCAGAGCACAGAGCTGGGGTACTGGTGACCCCACTGCTGCTGTGCCCTGGATGTCAGGGGGTGCAGAGCCCCCCCACCCCCCAATTTCCCCACTCACCATTTCGTTTGCTCTGCTTCCTCCCAGCTTGGGCTCACCAGGCCAGCTCTCGCTCAGCTCTCAGTTAAAACGCGCTGCTCTTAAACTGAGTTTTGTTTGCCCCGTTTCCCTCGTGGCAGTAACAGTCCTGGCACGACCCATTCCTGCTCCATTCAGCAGAGGACAGGGCCCTGCATCCAGGGCACTTCTCAACGTTTCTCTATACAAAACACTTCTTCAGCAGCCGCCTGTCTGCTATCTGACTTCTGGGCAGTTACTGTACAAAGGAGGGAACTGTTTCTTTGTTTTTTCCCCTTGCTGCGTGCTACTTCTTTGGCAACTGAAAGAAATGAAGGGGGGGTTATTTATTTCTTTTTAATTTATTGTCATATTTTTGTAAAACCTGCAGAAATGCAATAAAAGTATATTTCAACAAACCTGAGGTGTGTGCTAAGTTACTTTCCTACCAGATCTGTGCTTGGGGAGTGAGCCCCGGTGCTGCCGGCCCGGGGTGGAGGGGGCCAGCAGTGCAATGGGCAGAGGAAGAATGAAGAACTTGGCAGCCCTCTAAATTCTGCAGATTTATTGTACACGGTATCAAACATGGAATAGTTTAAAAATAAATGCAAAAAGAAAAAAAAAAAGAAAGAAAAGAAAGAAAGAAATCAAACAACAGCCACGACATCCAACTAACGGCGTATTTACAGTCGCTCCACGACGGCAGCCCTTCTGCCAACATGCAGCTGGCAGGAAAACCTCCCTTCTCCCAGACCCACCAGATGATATTTTTTGTGAAGGAGGAAAGTTTGAGGGTGGAAAGGAACACAGGCTCACAAGCTGAACGCTGCCCTGCCAAAGGCAGCCCGGTGCCATGCGGAGCAGAAAGCAGCTGGGGATGGTAGGAAGCAGTGAGCTGAGACGCTCCGTCCCGCTGCACGGCTGGCCAAGGACGGCTGGTTTCACTAAAAATACCCTGTGAGGCTGCGAGCTGCACACCGTGCACTGATTAATAAGAAATGACTGCGTTTGGAAGCCGGCGCCGCTGCAGCACAGTGACTCAGCTCTGCCCATCCATGCAGACCTCAAGCTGTTCCTTACAGTGAGGATTAGTCATCTCCTGTAGCTGAGAGCCACCAGCAAGGAGCACGCTCCCTCCCCATGCTCCTTCCCCACGCTCACCCACATCCATATCCGACCAGTTTATATTAGTCAGCACAGTGCCCTTCTCAACTCAAAGCACTGTGTGCGTGCAGCAGGAGATTCCAGCAGTGCCTGCATGGCAATTCACCAAGAGCTAACCTGGACAAGCGGTGTTTATGGAGCTGGTAGCAGTGAGATGTGTTTGAAGTTGGCTTTGGTCGCATGAGGAAATGAAAAGGCAGCTTTGCTTTCCTGGAGGGCTGGGGCTGCTTCTTGCATCAGTGGAGGACTGGCTGGTGGAAGGGAAGGCACGGCAGAACCCTGGCAGTGAGCACTGCTGCCCGGCAGCACCTGGCCTGCTGGAGGGTCAGTGCAGCCCTCCCTCCTCACCAGCCTCCTCAAGGCTCCCGTGGGTAAAACCTGAACAGCACAAGGGCCTGAGGCCACTCAGCTCCTCAGAAAGCATCAGCAGCTCCTGTAAGGCTTCTTAAACCTATCCCCAGAGCAAGCTCATTCTCAAAGCACGCCCACAGGGAGCCTCGGTTCATCGCGCCTGAGGACCGCGAGCGAAGTTCTGCCTTTAAGAACAGAGTCTCATTGTTAGCAGGCTGGAAGCTGGCGTTTCATTCCCTCGCTTCACTTCCAAAGAAGAAAACAAGAATTCCTTCCCTGCAGCCCAGGTTCAGCCTTTTCAATCTACAGAAGATCTGTCTGTCCAGTAATTGCACAGTTGTTTGGGAAGCAGAAGAGAAACCCAAAGCGCAGGCAGCACGGCACAAAGGTCAGCCTGCACTGAACCAAGGCTGTGATGCAACAGCTCCTCATGGGCATCCTCTGCTTTGCTCCCAAAAACACCCTGTGCTGCTCCCAGGTAAACTCAACCCTCTCTCCTTTAATGGAAAGGATTTCCCCCTCTTTGTTAGACAGCAGAAAAATCAGATAAAATGTGGCACGGATAGAGATCAGCTGCGACCCCGCTGGTCACACACAACTCCCCTGCTGCCAGGCTGACGTCAGCAAAGCAGGAAAACTAGGTTTCCTATCAGAGACATGCAGGTCTTTCTGAAAAATAAGATCTTTAAAAAAATGAAGCCAGTGGTAAGCAAACAAGCCAGGAAATGGGAAGTGGCAGCACAGCTGATGGCTGCAGCTTAACAAACAGAAATCGAACCCAAGACTCCTGTGCCATTAAGGGCAGAGACAAAGAGCTCAGCAAAAAATAAAGCTTTGAAGTTATACCTGCTTTAGCTATCTGGTACAGAGTGAAAGCTAAAGTGGAGACTAACACCCAGCATGCTGAACATCTGCCTCGGAGGAAGACCCACCACTGGAGCACCTCCATTCCTCTGCTCCAAGCACAGCCAGCAGCGTGTGGGGGCACAGCAGGTCGTGGAGGGCCTGGAAAAACCTCCAAGGACAGAAGGGAGGACACGGCTGGAAGCCGACCGTGCTACCTGCATCAAACTGAACACTCAGACAATACAGAGCAGTGATCCACAAACAGCAGGAACCACCTGCAGAACAGACCAGTCAAGCCTTCCTTCCAACGCCTCCAACTGACGTGTTAGGAGGGTTTTATTTTGACTGCATCTCTCCTGAAGAAAAGCGTTCATAGGATGCCAGGATTCAGCCTCAGCAGCAGGTTGGTTTCCCTACACCAGTCACTGGTGTGGCTACACGTTCAACACAAAGGCTGTTTGACACCCCACACTCACCAGTGCACACCTCAGCTGCCAGGAGCGCCCTGCTGTCTTCCCCTTGCATAAGGAAGCAGCTCTGCTGCTTTGATCAGTGAGCAAAAATCCCCTATTCAACTAAAACAAAATCATCATATTCTGGCCTCTGACAAGTATCTCAAGTTTTCATTACAAAAGCCAAACCTTTAGTATATATCATAACAGAAACAGTAAAAATACCACTACGCAGACATACAAACAACCCCTGAGGGTCACTAAATTTCAGTCACCTCGTAACAAGAGAATCAGAATCACCAGGTATTGTACAAACAGTGCGCTCAGCAAGAAAGGCAGGCATTTTTTTGTTCTCTTTCTCTTTTTGTTGTTGCTGTTTTCAATGCACTAAGGCACCAGGAAGTCACAGTTAGGCAAAGACCTTCCATGCAACACTCCAACCCGAGACACTTACCATGTAGGACACAGAGTCAAAGTGCAACAGCCTGAGGACAGCTTGCTTGAGGCAGCAGCACAGACAGCAGGCTGGAGGAGGAAGGAAAGAAGCGAGCTCTTGCTTTGGCTCAGATGGAAGCAGACTCACTGTGATTATTAGAAATCCACACTGCTTGTACACAACCAGAAATGGGCAGGAAAGAAAATAAAAGACAAGTTTGATACTTCAGTTCAGTTCACACCTCTTCGAAGATTATTTTCTCCATCACATCAGAACTAGTTTAAAAAGGCAACTTTCTTCCACCTCTTAAAAGTATCTGAAAGACTGCAAAGGCTCCAGTGAGCAACCAGATCATTTTTAAAGACACGGAGGGAACAAAGGGGGTTTACAACAGGAAAGAAGTGCCAACTCTCTTTAATAGTACATCACTCTGTCTAGCAGAGAAGTCAGCAAAGCCCAAACCTTGCCATACCAATCAAGTATACAGCATTTTACAACTTTAAAGCACTGTACAAACACGAGCCTGCAAGGCTGCAGCTCTCCAACTTGCCCAACACGTGAATTGGTCACACTTAACCACCAGCTGCACGTCCGTTTCCTCTTTTGCTATCTCACAGCTCTTCAGAGGATTCTCCAGTCTCAGCTTCAGATGATCCCTGGGAGAGCAGATGCTAAGGCAGCACCTTCCATCAGCATCCTGCACTTTGCACAGAAGCACTTTTTGACAGCGAAACTCTGGGAAGTCTTCTCACCGCTGCCAGTAAACCTCAAGGAATTCTGAGCGTTTATCATCTTCACCAACACAGTTGGCATTTTCAGCAACATTCCAGTAACGTGGAGGTTACTCCCACAGCAAAAAGGCAGGACAGAGGTCTAACCTAACCTACTCAGCGTTAACTTCACGCTAAATCCATTCACTTGGTGCCTAGCACGCAGCCATGAGCTGTGCCCTGCTCTCCCCAAGGCTCTGCCTCGCAACGCCCAGTCACAAAGCAACAGCATTTCCCTCCGTGCTCCCTCTGCCCCACACCTGACCACACGGCGTCTGCTGGTGGCAAAGGACGCGGTGGGGAAGGGGAACAGAAGCCCTGTCCTCCAAGCTCGCGGCTGCGCGGCGCTGGGTTGATCCAGGACCTCCTCCTCGGCGTTTTGGATTCGTGAACGAGGAAAAAAACACAGTTATAAACGTGCTGATTTAAACTAACACAGTGTGAAGTCAGCTCCTTACGTGAAAGCAGACAAGACATCGTTACTACGCTACACCTCCTGTCCCCTTCGGGTGGCGGTGGTCGTTTCCTTTTGGTCTCTGAACTCTGGATCCACCTAGGTGACTCGGGGGCTCCATTTCTGCTCTTACTGAAGTCAGTGAGGGTTCAGGTAACAGGCACTGAGCTGTCACAGTCCCAAAGAGATTGGCCTGAAGCACAGACCACGGAAGCTCACATTTGGATCAACTCTAAGTCCTGGACTCCATTCCACAGGGGCTGATATCACCAAAAGCACAGCGTACCATCAGTCAGAGCCAGCAGCAGAGGCAGAACCAGATGGAGATGCTGAGGTGCTCCCAGACTCGGCCACCAAGCGCTGCTTGCAAGTGCCAACCTCACTGCATCCATCAGCTGCTGCTCAAATACACTGCTGATCAAATACTCAGAATAGGATAAAAGCATCCATTTATTCCAACGGAGAAGTTGCACATATCAGTCTGTCCAAGACCAAGAGACTGTTAGAATTTAAGAGCAACACAAGCAACACACCTTTCACTTGAATTCTCCATGACCACCTATGCATGAGCTAAATGACCATGGCCCTTACAGAACAGACCAAAATACAACTGATAGACCAAGTTGACAACACGTTTGCTAAGATCAACATAATCCTAAATGACATCCATGATGATTATTGGTTTTTTTTCCCCCTTAAGTGCAGTGCCAATTTCAGAATCTTGGAGAAAAACAGCAAGGCCCCACACTGCTGGCTGGACTGGGCCCATCCAAAGAGTTCACCACTAATGTCAGTGGGTGCATGAATCTGAAAGCCCGCACCACTGTGGGGTTCTGCAGCAACCCCCATCTCCTCCCCAGGCTTCCACAGCTAGAGCTGGTCGGTTAGGTAACAGATTGAACAAAACCTGTTAAAGTGACAGCGTTTGTTGTTAGAAAGGAGGAACTAAGGTTACACTACGTGTTTTACTGGATTGTTCCACCATTTGCTCCGCAAGTTTTACGGCATAAATTAAAAAAAAAAAGAAAAAAAAAATAATAAAGGAGAAAAAAAAAAATAAATACATTGGCTCCTATGAAGTCAGAAGTGGTTTGGGCTGCATAGTGGAGGGGTGAGAGATGGGGGCAAGGGGCAAAATTGACACACTTTGAGACAAAACGGGAAGCGCCTGCAAAGTAGAAGAGGAGAGGCCCGAGGGTTTAAGTGTCCTCGTTCATATCCTGGCTGTCTGTCCGAGCGATTTTTCGTGGCGGCGCCGAGTTCTCACCTTCTATTTCCACTTGCTCTTGATCTCTCTTCTTTGCTGCATTCTGTTTGGACAAAGAAGGTGAGAGTGAAACTCTTCAAAGGGTTGGGAGAACAAGCTTTTGGTTGGAACGGTTCTAGAATGGCAGACAGCACTGGGACGGCCTGACAGACACCAACCCTGCTGAGGACTCGGCAGGGTTCTCCTCCCTGCTTCTCTGGGTCAGTCCCTGAACTCATCAAGCCCTCCAACAGCTCCTGCCACGCACAGACGCTTCCCTTTCAGCTCTGAGGATCCCTAATGCTGCCTCTCTCACCATCACACTGCCAGTTCTGACAGTTCCACTCCCAATCACAGCCTTGGTTCTGTGGACTGCCAGGCCTTCAGCGCCAGCTGGGGCTGCAGCCCTCATAGGGGAGCTGTGATTTCATAACCCAGGTACTCACACAGCCTCATCAGTGCAGCCGTGCTCTGCACGAGCTCATCCATCTCCTCACAGTCCTGGGAGAGAAGAGGAGCTCCATTCCAGCTGCAGAGCACACAGCTGAGGCACGGGGAGACCAATTTGTAAGGGCCACAGAGGGAGCCTGCACTAAAGTGGGAAACACAACTGAAGTCTGCCAGGTTCTAGACTGAGCACTGAATTAATGCCTGAAAGGGAATAAAAGAAGCCCCACTGAGCAGCACAGACAGCCTCCTTTTGCTGAAGTGCAGCCACAAGGGCTGAATCCCTCCCTGTAATGATATCAATATCCTGATGGCCATCAATATTCAGCTCTATCAGTTGCAGTCAGCAAACGAAGACACGAAGGAAACACAGCCATACCTTTTTGTCCCACTGCTGGTGTAAATAACGCAAAAGTATATTTGTCTTTTCTGTTACTATAACTGCCAAAGAAAGAGAGAAACGAGCTGAGGTCATTTTAAAGACAACTTTTTAAACCGTGCAGTAAGACGACATCGTTCCACACACTAAGGGTGGCCCTTTATATCAAAGGAGGGTGTTTGGGAACAGCAATCACTGAATGCCTTCAGAGAAGCACTGAAAGGCACAGCCAGGCACACGCAGCTAATTGCTGCTGCAGCACTTCCAGAACATCACTCGATCTGAAGCCCAAAGCAAGCGAGATTTTGAGCGACATAATGTTAGAAAAATAAATGCTAACTCAAAACCCACCCCCAAAAGCCCCCAGGCTTTCAGTGGGGCAGACCTACTTTGTTCAGACGGGTATTCTCTCGTGGGAAGATACACCGATGGTCTTCTGTTCTATAGGGGAATCAGAACAGTTGCAGAACAAAGACGGTGAGAAGGTGATTTCTAACTGAAGCACAGCCAACCCAACCACGAGGCCACCAGAAACACAGGCTGCAAACCTCACATCCCACCCAGCCCCTTCTTACAGAACGCCCTAAGGAACATGAAGAAGCTCAACCTCTCACGTGCCTTCATGTGCCAGCTGAACAGATTTTTGCTTGTAGAAGTTTCAGGGTAAGGCTAAAGGCATCAGACTAAAAGCCTAAGTCTATCGCTGAAGAATTCGCACACAAAGGCAGCGCCACAGATGTGGTTTGGCTGACGTTGAGGATGCAGAGCAAGCAGGAAGTTTGTCTTGCCAATCTCAGCTTACCAACTGCAGGCACACATGGGTTTTTCTGTCGCTTTTTTTTTTGTTTGTTTTAGGAAACAAAACGCTCAACGTTTCAAATTGATTTGGCCATAGACTCATTTGAAAACCCTCCCCAAGCACCAGGATTTGAGGGCTGACAGGCAAATACTTACTGATGCTTTACATACAGAGTCCGCGTGGAATCTGCTGAAGTTGCTTTTGTTGTAGACTGGTAATCCTTTCAAAAAATCCGCCTAAAAAAGACACAGAAGGCAAAGAAAGGAGGAGGTGAGGAAAGGAAGAGTGATATTCCAGCCGCTGTTTGCTTTGTGCTGACTCACAAAGGAGCTGCTGGCTCATTAAGATGAATGGCTGCAGGATTGGGAAGCAAGTCCAGAGCTCTCAGATACTGAAACAAAAACCCGAGGCTGCTTTTGTAAAGGAAGCAAATCCTCTGCTTCTGCATTTGGCTCCTTGTATTCAAGGAGCTCAAGAACTCAGTTATTAAGCTGCTGACCAAAGCCCTGCAGGCACGCAGGCTGCAAAGCAGCACCTATAGGGGGCTGGGTTCGGAGGGAAGGCAGCACAGCCCGGAGCAATCCAGCAGCACCAACCACCACGTGAGAAACTGCACCAGGACTGAAAGGCCCGGCTGTGACACCACAGCGACCAGCTGCTCTTTTGCTTTCGCAGGGAACATTCTTTGTCATAGGCCAAGGCTGATTTCACAAAGCACCAAAAAGCCCACGTGGCTGCAAAAGCCCAACCCTTATCAGGCGCTATCAGCACAGCCCAAGCATGAAGGGAAGGATCACAGCCCTTCTGCATCGAAACTACAAAAGAAGGTGCTCAGCAAGTATTAAAGGAGGCAGAAGACGGGCAATAAACGCAGGAGGCAGCGGAGCAAGGAGGAAAGGCCCCAGATGGGCCCCCTACGTCCCTGCTCGGCTGCCTGCGCTGCCACAGCACTCAGAGACTCCAAACCCCAAACGGAGGGATGCCGATCTTGCAGACATCCCCCTGCTTATAAAGGGCAGAAAAGCAGATGAGAAGTCGTGTAACATCCGTGTGAGAGGAGACAAATAAATGGACGCCGCTGCGGGGTCGGAAGGCGTTGTTTCCATTTCAATAGCAGCTATTATTTTTATTAACACCACATCCCTAACTCAAAACAAAGAGCTATAATTAGCCAAACCAGAAGAGATTATTCATACTCTTGTTCTTGAAAAGAACTCTACCAACGTTGTAGTTTCCACATTCAACGCTTCCTGTACCTCAACTTATAGCTAAAATAAGGGACTTGGATTCAAACAGCTGCACGCAAACGGCTCCTGCTTGCCTGGCTCCCTCCAGCAGTGATGGAGGCTGCTTCCCTTTGCCTTCACTGCTTTGCATTGCCAGGGCTCCACGACAGCCCACCTCTCCGAGCTGCAAAAATGCAAACTGTTATTAAAACGAGCAGCTAAAATGCATTTTAAATGGAGAACGTGCTGCTCTGGTGGGTTTTTTTTCCGCCCCTCTCTCTAAGTGACTGAAGCAAGACACACACCAGTTAAGTCCCTTGCAAGCAGGCAGGCTGCCATGCACACACTGCACTTGGGGACCTCAGCTCCAACAGGCACAGCCCTGAGCACCGGCTCTCAGCCACCACTCTCCCCCTTCACAGCCACTTGGGGGTACAACTCCAGCCCCCAGCAATGCTCCCTTTCCTCCCCGGCCTGCTAGATCAGAAAACAACAGAAACACCAGGGCAACTGAGCAAGAAAAGGGCATTACTCCAGCCCAGGTGTCAGCCAGCACCCCCAGCACTCATCACTCTGGTTTGTAACAGGACTATTCTGCTGGTAACACCGCTGCACACCTGCACATTTCAACAGTTACACGCTGATGCAATCTCAAAGATCACCAGGAAAGTCCCCTCAGGAGAACTGCCAGGAGCCACATTTCTGGATATTCAGAATGAGACAACAATTGGACTGCAGTGAGTCTTATCTGCTCCAAGGGCACAAGATAACGTAGGCTCAGTAGGTCGTGCCTACACAGCTATCACACCAGGCACACCAAGGAATAATCACAACGCAATGTCACACAAGGAAATGTTCCTCCTGCACACCTTCTATCACTCTTCAACCAAAGAAAGCATGTCCAGGCCAAGTCAGCGAAGCAGCTCCTGTGTGGAAGTGAAAAACCAGCACCAGAACCAAACAGGCACCTCATTTCCTTTGGGGAGAGGGAAAGCCCCCAGAACACCACAACAAATGCGATTAAGCAACCTTGGAAGCCAACACTGGTTCTGTGAAGTGAGGTAGAGACTGTTCTGGTGACAAAGGGGTTGCTTAGCTCCCTAGGAAGACGACAGTCCTCATCTAAAAGCAGGAAGGTAATAGTAAACCACATATGTGCCCTATTCACTGCTTTCTGGAAGGAACTGCAGTAACCACGCTATGGGATATGATGTCCAGAGCACCGACACGGAGAGCAGGGCTCTGTCCCAGCACAGTGTGCACACACAGACCAGGGGAGAGGTGCCAGCGCTGCTCGGGGAGCCGCCCCCGTGTGCTCAACCTCGGTGCACGGAGATCACTGCAAACACCGCCGAGTGCCCCTTTACTTCCTCCAAAAACGCCCAGGGAGTGGAGCAGAGAGCAGCCCAAGCGCCCGCTCAGGGCTTCCCCAATAACCCCCACACCCTCCATCCCCTCCACGGACGCAGCGGAACGCCCCGCACCCGAGATACCCCCCAACCCCCCTCCGGCCCCCGGCACCGCCCCAACTCTTTCACAGCCCCCTCCAGGCAGCCCCAGCCTTCACCACGGGCGCTCCGCCCCTTCTGGAGCCCCCAGGCCCCGAGGAACCCCCCAGGCCGCCCCAACGGCCCCCGAGCCGATCCGCTCGCACCGCCATTTTGGGCTCCCACAGCCCCTCGGCCCTGGGCTCGGCTGCCCCCGCCGCAGGGCCCGCTCTCCCTCACGGCCCGGCCCTGAGGGTGCGGCTCTCTCCTCCTCAGGATGGGCCTTCGCCGCCCTCACTCGATGTTGTGGGCGGGGAAACCGGAGGCTGAGGGCCCTGCGAGCCGGAGAGGCCCTGAGGCCGCGCTCCCCTCAGCCGGGGGCGCCGCCATTTCGGGCGGGGGTCGCACACCTACCATCTTCGCCGCCGCCAGCCGGGAGGAGCCGCCCCTCCCCCTCCGCACAGCTTCTGCCTGCCGTCGCTCGCCCGCCCCGCGCGCTCCTATTGGCCCGCGCAACGCCCCGCCCAGCACCTATTGGGCGTCGCAGCCGTCAGTCAGCGCACCGCTGAGGAGCCTGGGATTCGGTTGAAGCAGGAAATGCCGCTCGGAAGGCGGAGGAGGGTGGGAGGAACCCGGATGTGGCGCTGGCCGCGGGGCATGCTGGGAGCGGTAGTCCGCGCGGAGCTGCCGCGCGTCGCGTTTCTCCTCTCGTCTCGTTGATGAAAGCGCTGTTAATTACGTGTTAGCAACGAAGCAATTCATTAGCAGCGCTGGGAACGCACGTGCAGCGTCACCAGAGAAATCCCAAGCCCTGTCTCTGGGCCTGCTCAGGGCTCTCAGTCCACTCGTGAGTAATTTGCTAACAAACGTTGGCAGCTTCCCTTGGCTGGTGCAGATGAGCACAGCTCTGAGCACACGTGTGGGGCTCCCCTCTCCCTTCTAGCCCAGAGCTGCTGCCAAGGCCTCCACGCTTCTGAGCGCCTCCCACGGATAGCAGAGCGGAGCAGACACACTGTGGACTTGGCCAATGTAAACTAAAGTTCTCTCTGCCATCAGCCCTTGTTCCACACCTCCAGAGGCACCCTAGTGTGTGCAAACCTGTGAACAAGCTGGCTTTCCTCTCCCTATTACCTCTGCACCACCAATTATTGAAGAGAGTTCAGCGCAAGTTGCTAGGCTTTAATTAATGCTTGTGTTTTCACAAGGTGATCTTACAATTGTACACACAAGTGGCAACAACCTCACAATGAGAAAAGCAGAAAGCAGCCATCAAACAAAGCCCTTGGAGGCCGCTCTCAGTGCACTTCCCCACACGCTTCCAACACGGGAAGAGCAGTCGGTCGCTGCTGCCCATCACAGCCCTTCTCTCAGTACAAGGACCCAAGATGAGGTGCTCCAAACTCATGGCAGCTCCAGGGCTCTGTTCCAGCTCACCCCACACCAAACCTTCAGTGGGTCAGAGACTTCCTGCCCTTCAGCATGCGCCGGAGGATCACCTCGATCCCAGCCGGTGTGCTGATGCGTTTGATCCAGCCGTGGGTCCGTTTGCGCTTGCGGTTGTTGGGCTGATACTCGTTCCCACGCGCTTTTGTGCGGATCTGCTGATGGCTCCAGGAGGGCACTGGGCTGGTGAAGGAGGGGATGGTGCCTGTGGGCTTCAAGGAGAGGTGGCTGAAAGGCAACTCCCGGCAATGTGTGAAGACTGATGCTGACCGGAGCTGGGAGGGATGGACTGCAACTTGCTGGAGCAGAAAAAGCCTTTGGAAAAGCAAAATAAATAAAGATTTGAAAAGTGGGTTAATACAAACCAAATAAGGTTTAACAAAGTGCAAGACGTTGCACTTGGGTCAGGGCAATTTCAGATATGTATACGCAATGGGAGAACCCAGTGTGTGAAGCTCTATGGAGAAGCACTTGAGGGTCCCAGTGGACAAAAATGCTGGATATAAGCCAGCAGTGCGCATCTGCAAACCAGAAAACCAACTGCATCCTGGACTGCATCATCAGGGGGGTAACAGCAGCAGGGCAGGAAGGAACTACCCTCCCTGCTCTGCCCTTGTGAAGACCTGTCTACAGGGCTGTATCCAGACCCGGGGCCCCCAGCACAGGAAGTTTGTGGAGTTTTTTGCGCGGGTCCAGAGGAGGGCCACGAAAGTGCTGAGGGCGCGAACAGCCTCCCTGTGAACACAGGCTAAGGGAGCTGGGCTTCTTCAGTCTGGAAAAGGCTCCAGAGAGGTAAACCAAGGGATTTCCGGCCGCAGCGAGCGGGCCGACCCCGCCGAAGAAGGGACCCCTGCCCGCCCCTCTCGGTCCCCTCGCTCCGTTCCGCCTATTACCTGCCGCCAGCGGCCCGCTCCCACAGGCGGCCCAGCGCAGCCGCCATCGCCTCTGCCCTTCCTGACGGCACCTTCCTCCCAACAACACCGCCCCCTATTGGTTCCCTCCGCTTAGCCAATCACAGGCGGCAAAAGGGCGCGTGCGCGCTGGGTGGGAACGGCATTACGTATAACGTGACGGCCGCGGGGGGTGATGGGATTTGTAGTCCTGCAGGGGGCAGCGCGCGCAGCGCTGTTACTATGGCGACGACCTCGGGGTTCGGCCTGAACGTTTCTCCCGGTTCGGTGCTTCCTCCAAACGCTGCATTATCGCTTGTCCAAACTGTGCTGCTGAGGTTGCTTCCAGGACAGAGCAGCACCGCATGCACTGTGCACCTGCAGGCAGGATTCTTCAGCCCCCGTTCTGCTCCTAAATGCCATTTTCAGCTCTTCTCAGAGCAGGGGAATGAATGGCAGACAGGAGGAGGGGGCTGACGGTGATTCACGGACCACCAAGATGGACCTCACCGCCCTCACTGCCTGCCCCACGCATACAGGGGATATAAATGCAGCTCCTCCCAAACCAGGGATGTGAAAATAAACGAATAAATGAATGAATGCACGATAAACATTTGTCGTTTTCTGTTTGTCGTTGTGTCGCAGCCCCTGCCTGCTGTGAGCCTGTGCTCCCTGCGCTGAGCTCTGACACGCTCACGGCATGGCTGCACTTGTGGGAAGCCACAATGACCACAGCAGTGAGAGAACAGCAAAAGGCTTCTCCTGCGCGACGAAGGCAGGGATTAAAAGCAAGTCCTGGTCACAGCACAGGCACTGTGCTGATGGAGGAAAACCCCATCTCAGCTGGAACACCGCAGCCAGCAGCAGCCAGAACTCATCCCACTGCAAGGGGCAAAGCCCAGAGCCCCTGCACAGCCCCCCTGCTCCTGGCAGGCCTCCATGGGCGGGCAGCTCGGTGTGCTCGGTTCAGCGTTGACTGGCAAGTCCTCTTGTCTGTCAAGCAGAAAGCCCTCCTCCTTAGGAGGGATTTAAGGGGCTTTCTATGGCTGTAGACTACAAGGACAAATAGCACCCCCAAGCCCCAGAGCTCGGGTATGAAGCTCCTCGCTCCGCCGGGGCTCATGGGGAGAAGATGGAAGGAGAAATTGCAGTCTAAAGCCGATGAGCTGAGCTGAAGGCACTGCTCCATCCTTCCCACCACAGGCAAAAAAATGTGATCAGAGGAGCCGACCAGCTGAGCAGCCCGCCAGCTCCTGCATCCTGCTCCTGCTGCCTCGCATCTCCTCTTCTCTCCCTTTGCCTCCTGCGAGAGCAAGCCTTTCATTTGCAACCTCGACTCCCGACAATCCCTGTCAATAAATGAGGTGAGCGTGCCGTTCCGTCCCTCTTTGCGGTGCTCGGAGCTGTGATGCAGGGCATGTGCTGCAGCAGAGGGGAGGAAGGTGCTCTGCACGGGGAGCAAAATGGCCAAAGGATCCGCTTCGAGGCTGAGAGCTGAAGGGCTTTGAATGGGGCTGCAGGGAGACGAGGGGAGGCAGCAGCTGCTGAGCAGCACGGCTGCTTGTGCTGCCACAGCACTGCGCTATGAGCGCGCTTTGAGCGCGGGGTTGAAGCTGCCCGGTGATAAAACTTAGGGATGGCTTCTCGTTGTGATGCAATTACAGTCAGTGATTGCTGGCTCTGGAGGAAGACCTGCTGTTGCTATGTGTGTGGCAGATCTGCTTGGCTTTTCGGTTGCAGAGTGAGGGGGGCACCTGCATGCATCGCTGCCCGGCGGCGGGGGGCAGGGTTTTCTCCTTCCTGCTCCTTGCAATGCTCCAGGCTGCTCCTGGAGGCTGTAGGACATTTGCAGCTGAAGGACTGGAGGCAGCTTTGCAGCGATGCAGTGGGAGCTGGCAGGATCCTCCTGGAAATCCAGGAGGGTTGGGGGTGGGGGGGCGAGGCAGTGTGTCAGCCACAGAGGTCAGACGCAGGTTACTCCTCTGTGCATTGCATAATCTTTTGTTTCTCAAGGTCTTCTTCCTTCCTAAAGAGAGACGTGTGGCAGGCAGCCAGCCCTGGCTCCAGGCTGCTCTATGTGCACTAGGTGCTTTCCCCGCAGCACTGCTTCTCCACTCGGTGCCATTTGCATCCTGCAGGGCCCTCAGCACAGCCCTGCACCCAGAGACCTTCAGGTCTCAGGGCTGCCTGGTTGGTTCCTCACCCCTTATTCCTGCATGCCCTGATAAAGCTGCTGCTGCTGTATCAGGCCAAGCAAGCTGGGTGTAACAATAAACCCAGGTCCTTTCCACCCACCCGAGTGCTGTTTTGGGTTCCCCCAAAGGGAAGTTTACTTTGCAGGGCCGAAGTGGCATCGACGTTTTCTTGTGCGTTATCTGAGGCTGATGCTTAAACAGGTGTTGTCTTTTCGTGCTTCTCGATGCCGTAATTTCTCCCCTTTGCAGAGTGAATGAATGGGAGAGGATGGAAAGAGCATAACGATATTGGCCCATTCCTCAAGAGTGTCGTGTGTCATCATTAATACTCGCGAGCCCCGGAGGGAAGGGATTAGAGCTGAACAAATTATTATGGCAGGTCGGATTCTGGCTGCAGCGCATCTCACGCTCCTCCTCATGTCTCTGGCACCTCTCCTCCGAGGATCTGCAAGGAATTAGCAGATATGAATCCCTGCTGCTCCCTGCGGGGGCCCGGGGCTGTGTGTGCTGGAAGGGCTTGGAGGTGCTGAGCAGTGGGGCTACAGGAGCGTTGTGGCACAGGGGGAGCAGAAGCCATCCACAGCCATCAGCTCCTGCAGTAGCGATGCTCTTGGCTCAGCAATTGGGGCCAAATGTTTACCAGGGCTTCTGGCAAGGACAGGCTCAGTGCCATGATGGAGAAACGCAGCAGCATCCTTGCCCTCCTCCTGCCCCACAGGCTCCATGCCAGTCCCACATGGCTGCCTGTCACGCTATCATGTCAAGCTTTCTGCCCTCCGCACGTCGGATCGCGTCCAATTTCTCTCCAGCTGTGACATGGTGCCATCAAGTTGTGTAAAATCAGAGGCTCCGCAGCCCAAAGTAGGTCAGTAAGTTGTTTTTGCCAGCTGGGCTGTCGGCAAGCAGGGAGGAGGCGCAGAGGTTGGAGCTGGAGGATCCTGCAGCAATGCCCACATTTGGGGCACGGAGCCCTGGAGCTGGGCAGCACATCAGCCTCCCTCCATCACTGCTAAAGCATCCTTCGCTCCTCTGCTGCTGTGATAGGAGAGATTTCCCAGGGGAAGCCGTGACTTTGGGGTGACACAGGCATGGGTAGCAGCTCATGGTGATGCTCTGCCCCTCCCCAACCTCTGGGGATGCTCTGCTACACTCCTGGCCTGGCGCCGTGCCTGACTCAGTGTTGTGCCTGGCCTTATGTAAGTGGTGCCGAAATCTCACTCTGCTGGGGGCGGCACTGGAAGGTAGCCGGGATGAAGGGGGGGGGGGGAGGAGAGAGGAAGAGCAGCTCATCGCCATGGTTACCAGCATCTTCACTAAGTTCTTCACATCCATATGGCTTCATTTGCAGCCCTTTCATCTGGCGGAGGGAGGGAACATCCCTTGATGTTTCTGGTTGCGGCAGACGGAGCGGTGGGAGGTGGGAGACGGGCAACTCTCTGCCCCCCGCCCCGCTGTGGAGCCCTCCTGCCCCTCCATTACCCACCGGGCTGCACTCTCTGCTGTGATTGAATCAGGGCTTTCACAGCTCCAGAGCCAAAGCATGGGCTGCCAGGCCTCAGGCTGTGAGCCCCAAGCCATGCATTGCTGTTAGGGACAGAGCCTGCCCTGCTGCTCCCCTCCTCCTGCACCAAAGCAGACCCAGGGGCTGAGCTGGGCTCCTGGATCTGCCTGCAGAGCTCCTGTGTGCAACAGCCTTCCAGCAAATCAATTCTGGAAACAAACAGGATGGACTAATTGAGTTAATCCTGCGAAGTTAATCAATGTCAAGTCAGGTTGGCCAGAAGTCCTGTTTATAATCCACGCGGAGATCATTAGTGCCCTGTGAAATGGAGGTGCAGGGCAAATCCTGGCTCCATGGAAATCAGAGTTGGAAGGCATGTCGGGGTGCCTGGGTGCTGCAGGCTGAGCGCAATGCGATCCAGCAGGACAGCAGCTGGATCCCACAGCTGCACGTCTGCCTCTGCCACCAAATCCACTCTCCTCAGTTCTCCACCTGCCCCTGTTTCTTGGTGCTTTGGACTGCGCTCTTCCAGCATTACTGCTCCAGAAATGCAGTGGGACCAATGGGCAAAGCTCGACCCTGGCACCCAGCTGGTGCTCAAGACACGGTGAGAGCAGAGCTGTTCTCCATCCCAGCACAGAGCCACCAGGGATCTTCCAGCCAGGAGCTCCGGCAGCTCCACTGGGCAGCTCCACTGCTGCCAGGGCTGCACTCAGCTTCCCCTTCCAGGGCCTTGAGATCTTTTGCTCTTAATGCAGAAATGCTGCTGGGAACCAGGCTGTGCACGCTGGGGCTGCAGGGAGCCCTGAGCAGGATGCAGCCGAGCTCCAAACGCATTCAATTACCAAAGCTGCAGGCAGAGCCCTGAGCCCAGGCAGCCTCCAGACCGGGTTTTGTTTTGCTGATTCCCTCTCGCGCGCTGCCAGCATTGCTGCTGCAGTGCTGTGTGCTCTGAGCAGTTGCTGGGGGAGTTAAGCAGGCTGCAGCGGGGATGGTGGTGTTTAATTCCCCTTGGGAACGCGTTCTTCCTTCCCCTCCATCCCTGGAGGTTTCTGCTCCTTAACTGCAGCCGTTGCAGGGGGGGTCTGCTGGATCCCCCCGGTCCCCACTGTGAATCGCTTTGCTGAGCAGATTCTCAGCATCAATAATTCAACGTACAGAGCTGCATCCATAATAAATGTGCATTGGCCTGGTGGAAGGGGGGGGGGGGAGGGGGAGGGCAGGAACGTCCCCAGTGCTCCAAGTGCCCCTCGGAAACGGGCTGAGCACCTCTGGAAGAGCACACAGCATGGGCTGGACCAGCGCTGGGGCCAGAGGGACTGTGCTATGGTACCCCAGCCCCACGGCCTCCCCCCATCCCACCATGGGGAGGGGGGCTGCCCACCCTCCCAGCTGGATACCTGCCTCTCCCCCACGTTCCTGTGCTCGGCGTCGCTATGTGGAATGCCTGTAATTTAAAACACCCAACCTCAGTCCCTCGATTTGCGTCTCTCCCTGGTTGTGGTGGTGGTTTGGACGGGAGCTACACGCACACATTTAATCAGTATAAATAATGCATTTTCATAGCTGAGTCTCCCCTCAGCCCCACATTTGGTGCCAGAAACGTCATTTTCAACGGGCTTTTCCTTGGGCGTTTGATTCCCTCGGTTCCACCTCCGACCAGCCACAAAGGGAGGTGGGGGGCTGTGGGGAGGGCTGTGCACATGGGGAGCACTGGGGGACACCCCAAAGCAGCTCCAGCAGCAGCTGCGCCCCGGTTTATGCCGCCCTAACCTCCTTCTGCTTCCTCACGCAGGGAGCATAATGCTGAACAGCATCACCGAGGGGTTCCTCTGCTGCCTGATGGGCAAAACAACCAACGCCGTGGGGCCGCTGGACAGCGTTGAGTCCAGCAATGGCTACAGCTTCCTGGAGGTGAAGCCAGGCAGGATCCTGCGGGTGCGACACAGCGCTCCGAGCCGCCCGCCTGCCGAGCCCCCCGAGGAGCCCGGAGCTGCAGAGAGAGGCACGGTGCACTGCAAGCGCAGGATCACGCTGTACCGCAACGGGCAGCTGGTGATCGAGAACCTGGGGGACGCCGTGCGCTCTGAAATCCTGCACTGCTCCAATGGCTCGGCCGAGCCCAGCAGCACCATGGAGCTGGAGCTGTCGGAGCTGGCTGGCCAAGGCCCGGTGCAGGGCTCTGCCGGCACGCCGGGATCTGGTGCACGAGATGCCGCGGCCGGCAAGCGTCGGAAGCGTAAGCCCAAGAAAGTCATCAACATCGACTGCAAGAAGCAGATCACGAGCTGCAAAGGGACCCACGGTGACGTGGTCCTGTTCTTCATCCACGGCGTGGGCGGCTCGCTGGATATCTGGAAGGAGCAGCTGGACTTCTTCACCAAGCTGGGCTACGAGGTGGTGGCTCCTGACCTGGCCGGCCACGGCTGCAGCTCAGCCCCGCAGATCGCTGCTGCCTACACCTTCTATGCGCTGGCTGAGGACATGAGGGCCGTCTTCAAGCGCTACGCCAAGAAGAGGAACATCCTGATAGGGCACTCGTATGGGTAAGGGGCACAGGGGAGCCCTCGTCCCATTGCCATCCTCTCCGTGGCTGGATAGATCCTGCCCTGCGGGGCTGAGGAGCAGAGGATGGTGTGGGGTTTCCAGCCTTCACGTTATCTCCAGCTCTGATCCCCTCCATCCCCTCGGTGCCCAGCTCTGGGCCCAGCTAATCCCAGCACCCTGAGCATGGGCCAGCAAGGAAGCTGGCGGTGTTCAGCCTATAAATAGAGTAAGTCTGAGAAAGTCAATTAGATGGGGGCTAAGCAGCGCAGAGGGAGCTGGATTAGACCGGTGACAAGCAGGATGCAGGCTGCGGCGTGGCTGCACTGCTCTGTGGGTGCTGGCGACATCCCAGTGGCTTCATGAGCATGTGTGACACTCACCGTCCTCACTGCAGCTCCCACTTTGCTGTCTGTCCCTGCAGGGTCTCCTTCTGCACCTTCCTAGCCCACGAGTATCCCGACCTGGTGCATAAAGTGATCATGATCAACGGAGGGGGCCCGACGGCGCTGGAGCCCAGCCTGTGCTCCATCTTCAACATGCCCACCTGCGTGCTGCACTGCCTGTCCCCATGCCTGGCCTGGAGCTTCCTCAAGTGAGTTCCACTGCCGTCCCCAGCAAGCTCAGCCCTGAGTGCACTGCCAGCACGGGCAGGCACAGCACCGGTGCCTCCACGCTATGCTAATCTCTTCCACATCCCGCAGGGCTGGCTTTGCCCGCCAGGGTGCCAAAGAGAAGCAGCTGCTGAAGGAAGGCAACGCTTTCAACGTCTCCTCCTTCGTGCTGCGTGCTATGATGAGCGGGCAGTACTGGCCAGAGGGTGACGAGGTGTACCACGCCGAGCTGGCCGTGCCCGTGCTGCTGGTGCACGGCATGCACGACAAGTTTGTGCCGGTGGAGGAGGACCAGCGCATGGCAGAGGTACGGCACAGCGGGGCTGAGGGCTCCTCCTGGTGCCGGCAGCCCAGCGCTGACACGTTTCCCCTTCCAGATCCTGCTGATCGCTTTCCTGAAGGTGATCGACGAGGGCAGCCACATGGTGATGATGGAGTGCCCCGAGACCGTGAACACCCTGCTCCACGAATTCGTCCTGTGGGAGCCCGAAACGCCAGCTGGGGACGGGCAAGGAGAGAAGAAATAAGGTGGCGGGGACGCGGTGACCGGGCTGCTCCGATGGGAGAGATGCTGGGGAGCACGGAGGGGTTTGTGGGCGCAGCGGGGCGCAGCCGGCCTTGCCAGGCATGGAGCTGGTTTTGTTCCCGGGCCGCGGGCGGGCAGAGGAGCACGGAGGCTCCCCCCGGGCACGGGCGTGCGGGGCCGGCGTTGGGAACACGGCAGACCCGGTCCTGTGACAGCCGCTGGAGCGCCTTCATCCTGTTTTGTTGTAGTATTCTATTCTTCACGCAGTGACCCCTCGGGGGCAGAGCGAGGACACTGTGGGGACACCGCTCCCAGAGCGGAGGGGGTCCTGCAGGGGGTGACCCTGGCATCTGGCGGCACGGAGCTGAGTCGGGATTGCTTTAGGGGAAGCCAAGTGGGATTTGCCTTTCTAAGCTGTGGTGGGGGCCGATGAGGCCAGAGCTGAGCTCTCCCCCAGTGCCACCGTTCGTGCAGTCGTGTCCCCATACAAACCACTGCTTCAGGTCCTGCAGCTCCGGCTTCTGCTCAGCCCCCGTCCCACTGCGCCGGGGCTCCTGGGTGGGCACGGCTGCTTCCCTGCCCCTGACCCTCACATGGGGATGGCTGCAGCCTCCCCTCACCGCAAAGAGCAGAGCCGCTCCCCTCTTTGTTTTCTCCCCTTATTTCCCCCATCTAAACCAAAGACACAGCCAGGCCTGCTTGCCCAATGGAACCTCGTCCCCTGGGTGGGTGCAAAACCCTTCTCGTCCCCTTGGGCCCCCAAAACCGTGCAATGAAGAGGAGCTGGTGCCAGCACAGCAGGGACCACGTGTGACAGGTGCCATACGTAACCCACCCCCCACCCCCTCTCCTGGCACCAACCCACGCCCACCCTGCAGAATTTTAACCACAAACACGTGGGTTCGGATGCATTTCCACGCACCAAGCCCAGATCACGGCTCTGCTCCCTGTACCCCCAGCCCAGGAGCTGCCATCGGCACCGGGTTGCAGCTCCCACCCATCAGGCTGCGCCGCTCGCTCCATCGCTTGCACAAAGGCAGAACCTGCACCATGATGTAAAGCCGTGTTGTATCTACAGCCACGTCCAACTCCACCACGGGGACGCAAAGCAGGCGCGGCTCTGAGCTGTTGCAGCCATTTACTCATCACCACTTAGGGGTAGAGAGAAAATAAATAGAAACATTCTCGTCATCGTTCACGACGTAAAAAAAAACCCAGGCACGCAGCCCTCCGCCTCCTTGGGAAGAGCAGGGGGTGCCTCCAGGCCTTGGAGGGGGGCTCAGTGCCCGGCCTGGATGTCGGCTGGCCGCAACTGCCGCTCGCCCTCGGCCAGGAAGATGCGCATTGCCCTGTGCAGCATGTGGACGCCCAGGCGCCGGCGCCGTGCTGGGGACCAGCTGGCTGCCACGCCATAGCAGTTCCCCTTCCTCTGGTTGGTGACGGCACGCAGCCCTGCGGGGTCAGCACCCACAGCTCCCACACCGTGCTTGCCATGGGGTCCCCGTGAGCACCCACATTGCTGTAAGGCCCCCATTAGCACCCGCAGCCCCATGAGGTTGGGATCCCCTTTAGCGCCTGTGGCCCCTGAGGTCCCCCCTTAGCACCTACGTCCCTATAGCGACAAACCCCCCGTTAGCACCCATGGGGTCCCATTAACATCTGCTCCAACCCATCTTTTCCCCGCAGGAGATCAGTTTGGGGCATTGTACCCAAACCTTGTGTTGCTATCCAGGGACCCCCAGCTCTCATAGAATCATAGAATCACCAAGGTTGGAAAAGACCTCAAAGCTCATCCAGTCCAACCGTTCACCCATTCCCAACAGCTCCCACTAAACCACGTCCCTCAACACAACATCCAGCCTTTCCTTGAACACCCCCAGGGTCGGTGACTCCACCACCTCCCTTGGCAGTCCATTCCAGTGCCTGACCACCCTTTCTGAAAAGTAATACTTCCTAATGTCCAGCCTGAATCTCCCCTCTCTCCATGGAATCTCTCCATGTGCCCCAGGACGGGCTGCATCCCCCTGCTGCCATACACAAGGGGGGGACCAGCCCTCACAAACCCCCATCCCCCGCTCACCCAGGGCCTCCAGCAAGCAGCCCTCCCTCGTGTACGCCTCAGCCGGCACGCTGCTCTGGAAGCAGTGCAGAGAGATGACACCCATCCCACTTGCCCAGATCTCCAGGATGCGCCGCACCTTGGGACAGCCCTGTGGGACAGCCCCATGCCCATAAAGCCTCCTCCTTTCCCATGCGATCCACCCCACACCCACCCCATCCCACCTTCCTTGTCCCCATGCGGTGCTGGGTCACAGCCTCAGCGAGGTGGCTGTAGGGCCGGGCACGCGTTCCTTTGCCCACATAGAAGATGGCATCAACGAAGGTCTTGAAGCACTCCGTGGGGCTCAGGCGGTGGCAGCGCAATGGGAGCTCCTGCGTGGTCCTGGGGGAGCAAATCCCACCCCGGGAGCACAAAGAACCTTAAGATGTTGGATTCCCAGCCTCAGGGGCAGCCCAAGAGGCAGCACAGCCCTACCTGGGGTCGAGCAGGAGGTAGTTGAAGCTGGCTTTGAGCAGCCCCTCGCGCCAATGCCGGCTCCGGTCGGGGCGGTCGAATTGCTGTGCCAACACCGTCTCGTCCTCGGTGCAGTTGGGGATACGGCCGGTGCGTAGCGCATCTGTCAGCTCAGGGCTGTGCCCTGGAAGGGGGGAAGGATTGGGGTCATCCTGAGCCCCCCCAGCACTACGGGGATGGAGGTCCCAAGGATTCACCTGCCGGGCTGCGGCTCAGCTCCTCCAAGCGCCGCAGGTACACGCGCCGGGTGAGCACTGTGATGGGTCCTGGGTCGTAGCCCAGCGCCCGCAGCCTCCGGAGCAGTGCTTCATCTGAGAGCACCCGCAGGGACTGCACTTGGTCCCCGTCCCCAGGGCTGGTGGTCTCAGCACTGGGACTGTGCCACTCAGCGGGCGGGCATCCATTGGGTTCCACGGGGCGGTGGGGACTGCGGTCTGCAGGTGAGCACGGCATCGGTGGGGTCCTTGGCTCTGGGATCCTGGGGTCAGTGGCAGGAGTGGAGTTCTGAACACGTGATGGGGAATCCTGGAGGTTGTCACTGCCCGCAGGAGCCAGCAGCACTGTGGGGCTGGGAGAACACTGAGCATCTGATGGGGAGTCCTGGGGGTGGCTGGGATCCCCAGGACCCAGCAGCACAGTAGGGCTGAGGGATCCCTCAGCACCCGACAGAGGGTTCTGGGCACAGCCGTGATCCCCAGGAGCTAGCAGCACTGTGGGGCTGGAGCTGCTGGTCCCCAGGGGCTGGCTGGGGATCCTGGGGAGGATCTGGGTGTCATCTGAGGACCCTGTGCTTTCTGCATCCCCACCAGACACATCCTCACCACCGAGGGCAACACAGTGCCCTGTGGGGGTGGCAGGGTCCCCAGGGACGCCCCTGGGTGCTCTGATCCGGGGGGGCCTGCGGGGCTTCTCCAGGCTGGCATCAAAAAGGGAGGAGGAGGAGGAGGAGGAAGCATTGAGCCTTGCTGCTGAGGCCTGAAGGCGGCTCTTGGTGCGGGGGGTGACGTGGCAGAACTGGGGGTGCTGCAGCCCCTGTGAAGTGACATCCCTTACAGCAGGGCTGCAAGGGAGCTCCAGGCTGCGGGGGGGGGAACCCTTGAGGCTGCAGCCCTGGAACAGCACAGGCAGCTCCTCCGCAGCTGAAGGGTTCTGGGCAGGCAGCTCACAGGGTCCTGCTGAGGAGGGGGCTTCTCCTGGGCACACCACAGCCCTGCTGGGCTCCAACATCTCCACTGCAGTGAGGAAATGCTCGCTATCCTCACTGCTGTCCCCAGGGAGGTCATGGCCTCTGGTTCCTGCTTCCAACACCCCACAATCCCTGCTGCTGTGCAGGGGCTGGGGGGGGCTCCTGGCCCCAACAGTGGGCTGCAGGGAGGAGCTGCACGCTCCCTTTCCCTTTAGGGGTACCTCCTCATGCTCACCCCCAGCCCAGAGCAGTGTGCTGGATGCCAGGGGCTGCAGAAGCAGAGCCGGACACCCTGGGGTGAGGGAGGAACCCAAGGAGGGTTGAGCACAGCACGGGGGCTCCCCCAGCCCACAGCTGCCCCCCAGCCCGGGCTCCTCCAGCTGGGTCACGCGAGTGCTGCTCAGCAGCTCCGCAGCGCTGCAATCCTCGGACAAGAAGGACAGTGAGCGCCGGAGTCCCTGGGGGGCCGGGAGGCTCCAGTCCCGCAGGAGCTGCACGCACAGCCCATGGCCCTGCTCCAGCGCCAGGTCGATGGCTCGCTTCCCGTCCTGCAGGGAAGGAACACCGCTGCTGGTATCGCTCCCACCAAGGACGGAGGGCTCCGAGGCGCCGCCCCCAGCGCTAACCTGGTCCCGCAGCTCCGGGTCCCCCCCGTTCTGCAGCAGCAGCTCCAGGCACCCGCAGCTCCCCCAGGACGCAGCGACGTGCAGCGGCGTGAGCCCCTCGGCAGCCCTACCACCGTACCGGCGTCACCGCCGTCCTCTCGGGGGCTCCGCTCCCACTCGGCAGAACGGAGCCGAGCTCCCCAAGGCCGTTACCTGGCATTGGGGTTCCCTCCGTAGCGCAGCAGCAGCCGCAAGCAGCGCACGCCTCCCCCGGACCCCCCCGCAGCGCTCAGATGGATGGGGGCGAACCCCCCTGAAAGCAGCAGGTTGGGGTCGGCCCCGTGCCGCAGGAGGATCTCCACCGCCCTGCGGGGGGACAACGCGGGGTCACCGCCCCTACCGCAGCATCACCCGAGCCTCGGCCACGCGGCAAAGCGACAGCCCGGGCTGCAAAGCCCATGCCGCCGCCGCGAAGCCCGGGCTGCTGCAACGCCCGACCCTTCCCCGTGCAACCTTCGACCCCCGACCCGACCCCATCCCACCCCGATGCCCTCTTACTCCTCGCGCCCGCCCCGCAGCGCCGCGCACAGCCGCCCCGCCGCCCCGCGCCGCCCCGCGCCATTCATGCCGCCCTG